TTATTATAGGTTACAATTTAAGATAAATAAGTTAATTAATTTCAGTTAAAAAGATTAAAAAAAAACATTATATAATAAACTCTGAATTCTCTCTTTCTCTCTCTCTCTCTCTCTCTCTCTATAATATATTATATATATATATTAATATATTCTATTTGAAAATTTATTTTTTTTAAAAAATTTAATCTATCATATTATACAAACCATAAAGATAAAAGACATTAAAAAATATAATATATTTTTATCTCTCTCCTAAAATATTTTAAAATTATAATTAAAATAAATTCAATACTTAAAAAAAAATACAAAATTATCATGTCTCATTATCATTCATATATGTATTTATTTCGAAATTTCTTAATAGCTGTTATTTATTTAATTTTTTCTAATATCTTCACTGTTCTTAATTATTTTTTTCTCTCTTTTTTGTTATTCATGTTTGATTTCTGCTTATATTTTATGAATTTTTAACATTTCAATTTACATTTAAAAAAACATTGTCATGACTCGATTCTTTCAACCCTTTCACTCAACTGCAAGTTCATAATTTATATAATCACTAATAAAATAAAAAATAATAATAAATTACTTTTCACTGCTAGGTAAAAGAAATGAAAAGAAAAAATAATCTGAATCAATAATGATATTCACTTTAGCTAGTGACAGTACCACTCACCTAGTGCATTAAAGAAAAAAATATATGTACACAAATTCTCGAAACACCCAAAAGTGACCTAAAATAAAAATATAGTTCTTTTTTTTTTCAATATCATAAACATTATTTTCTTTCAATTCAAACAGATTTAGAATATAAAAAAAGTAATATCAAAAAAATAAAAAATACTTAATCATCAAAATGTTATCCATTTCTTGTTAAACTTATAATACATACAAATTAATTCAATAACAAAAAAAATAAATATAAAATTATTATTTAGAAATAAACATTTCTATATAACTTCAACACTATAACAATGAAACAAAAATTATCACAATTTTTTATTTTAAAAACCCCTTTTTCAGTTTGAAAATCCCAAAAATTTAATGAAGATTTGGATATCGATGGGGTTAAAAAAAAAAAAAAATCGATACGTGAATTTACAAAACAAATCATGCTAGAATTCCCAATATTTGATCGGTTTAATCCAAATTTATCTAAGTATTTTATTTTATCTATTATTATATAGTTACAATTTAAATTAAATAAAGTTAATTAATTTCAGTTAAAAAGATTAAAAAAAACATTTTTTCATCTTCAAATAAACTTCTGAATTCTCTATAACCATTACAAAATATATATTATTGAAAATTTTTTTTTTTTTTTTTAATTGTTCTACCAAATCATTAAAAAATAAAAAAGAAATTAAAAAACATATTTTTATCTTCTCTCTCACCTAAAATATTTTAAATTATAATTAATATAAATTCGAATATTTAAAATATAAAATATAAAAATTATCATGTCTCATTTTTTATCTCACCTAAAATATTTTAAATTATAATTAATATAAATTCGAATATTTAAAATATAAAATATAAAAATTATCATGTCTCATCATCTCGCGCGCGCGCACACACTTATTAAAAAATAAAACATAGAATTTTAAAATTCTTAATAATGTTTTATTAATTTTTCTAATATTTCAATTTTCTTAATAATTTTTTCTCTTTTTTATTATTTAATGATGATTTGCTCTTGAATTTTATTACTTTTAACATTCATATAACATTTTTAAAAAAAAACATTGTGACCGGATCTTATCCCCTTCACTCATCTGCAAAATCCAATATTTTATATATCCACTAATAAAAAAATAATTAATAATAAAAATTATTGTTATTGCTAGGTGAAAACATGAAATGAAAAAATAATATGAACAATAATAATATTTTACTTTGGCTAGTAACAATATCACTTACACGGTGCATTAAGAAAAAAAATATTATGCTCACAAATTCCTTAAAAAACCGCAAAAGTGACCTAAAACTGAAAAAAAAAAAATTCTTTTATATCATAACACACTATTTTATTTCAGGTCCAAAAACCAAATTTAAAAATATAAAAGAAATAATATCAAAAAAATTAAAAATTAACTTGATCATCAAAATGTTCATACTATTTCTTTGTTAAAGTTGTAATAGTTACAATTTTCAATTCAATAACCAAAAAAAATAAAAAATTTATCTATTTAAAATAAACTCTTCTCCAAAAACATCAACCAATAACAAGAAAAAACTATCAATTTTTAATTTTCAAAACAAACCATTTTTCAACTGAAAAGTCCATAATTAATGGAAATTTTTGATGTCGATAAAAAAAAAAAAAAAAAAGAATTAAAGCCAAGTCAATAAATGAAAATTACAAAACAAATCACTTTAGGATCCAATATTGATCAGTTAATCACTTTAACGAAGTATTTTATTTCTCTATTATTATAAGTTACAATTTAGACTAAATAACTTAATTAATTTCAGTAAAAAAGATTATATATGAAAAAAAACATTACATCATTTTCAAATGAACTCTGAATTTTTTCTATAACCATACAGAAAATATATATATTCTATTTATAAATTTATTTTTTTAAATATGTATCCATCAAATCATAGAAACATAAAGAAAAAAGAACATTTAAAAAGAATATATTTTTATCTCTCCTAAAAATATTTTAACTTATAAATAAAAGAAATTCAAATATTTTAAAAATAAAATATAAAAATTATCATGTGTTACCATCATATATATATTATATATAGAATTTGCAAATAAAAACACAGAATTTTGAATTCTTAATTAATGTTTTATTAATTTTTCTACAATATTTCAATTTTCTTAATCATTTTTTCTCGCTTTTTTATTATTCAATGAACATTATTAATTTTTCTAATATTTCAATTTTCTTAATAATTTTTTCTCTTTTTTATTATTTAATGATGATTTGCTCTTGAATTTTATTACTTTTAACATTCATATAACATTTAAAAAAAAAACAAGTCGACCGGATCTTCATCCCTTTCACTCATCTGCAAATCAATATTTATATAACCACTAATAAAAAATAATAATAATAATAAATTATTTGTTATTTCTAGGTAAAACAAATGAAATGAAAAAATAATATGAAACAATAATGATATTTACTTGGCTAGTAACGGTATTACTCACACGGTGCATTAAGGAAAAAAATATATGCACACAAATTCTTAAAAAACCGCCAAAAGTGACCTAAAACGAAAAAAAAAAAGTTCTTTTATATCATACACACTATTTTATTTCAAGTCAAATAAATTTAAAATATAAAAGACAATAATATCAAAAAAATTAAAAATACTTGATCATCAAAATGTCGTATATTTCTTGTTAAAGTGATAATAGTTAAAATTTAATTCAATAACCAAAAAAAATAAAAAAATTATTATTTAAAATAAAACTCTTCTCAAAACTCAACCTATAACAAGAAAACAAAAACTATCAATTTTAATTTCAAAAACAACCATTTTTTCAACTGAAAAGTCCATAATTTAATGAAATTTGATGTCGATAGTAGACCAAAAAAAAAAAAAAAAAAAAGAAATTAAAGCCAAGTCAATAAATGAAAATTTACAAAACAAATTCACTTTAGGGATCCATTTTGATCAGTTTTAATCACTTTAACGGAAGTATTTTATTTCTCTTATTTATTATAAGTTACAATTTAGACTAATAACTTTAATTAATTTTCAGTTAAAAAAGATATTATTATGAAAAAAACATTACACTTTTTCAATGAACCTGAATTTTTTTCTATAAACCAACAGAAAATATATATATTCTTATTATAAATTTATTTTTTTAATATTGTTATCCATCAAAAATCATTAGAAACATAAAGAAAAAGACCATTTAAAAAGAATATATTTTCTATCTCTCCTAAAAATAAATATTTTAACTTATAAATAAAATAAATTCTAATATTTTAAAAATAAAATATAAAAATTATCATGTCTCGTTACCATTCATATATATATAGAATTTGCAGATAAAACATAGAATTTTGAAATTCTTAATAATGTTTTTATTAGTTTTTCCAATATTTCAATTTTCTTAATATTTTTTTTCTTTTTTTTATTATTCAATGATGATTTGCTCTTGAATTTTATTACTTTTAACATTCATATAACATTTTAAAAAAAACAAGTCGACTGGATCTTCATCCACTTCACTCATATGCAAATCAATATTTATATAATAACTAATAAAAAATAACAATAATAAATAATTATTTGTTATTACTAAGTAAAACAAATGAAATGAAAAAATAAACTGAATCAATAATGATATTTACTTTGACTAGTGACAGTATTACTTATCCGGTGCATTACGAAAAAAATATACGCACGCAAATTCTTAAAAAACCCACAAAAGTGACCTGAAACGAAAAAATAGTTCTTTTTTTTTTCAATATCATACACAATATTTTATTTCAAGTCAAACAAATTTAGAATATAAAAGAAAATAATATCAAAAAAATTAAAAATACTTGATCATCAAAATGTCCTATATTTCTTGTTAAAGTGATAATAGTTACAAATTAATTCAATAACAAAAAAAAAATTATTATTTAAAATGAAACTCTCCTCAAAACTCATCGTATAACAAAAAAAAAAAACAAAAATTATCAATTTTAATTTCAAAAACCACCCTTTTTCAACTGAGAAGCCCATAATTTAATGAAATTTGATGTAAAAATAAAATAAAATAAAATAAACCCAAGTTAATAAATGAAAATTACAAAACAAATCACTTTAGGATCCAATATTGATCGGTTAATCAGTTTAACGAAGTATTTTATTTATCCATTATTATAAGTTACAATTTGAAATAAATAAGTTAATTAATTTCAGTAAAAAAGATTTAAAAAAAAAAACATTATATCATCTTCAAATGAACTCTGAATTTTCTCTATAACCATACAAAAAAGATATCTATTAAATCATACAAACATAAAGAAAAAAGAACATTAACAAAATACATATTTTTCTCTTTCCTAAAAATATTTTTAATCATAATTAAATTAAATTAGAATAATTAAAATATAAAATATAAAATTTATCATGTCTCATTATCGTGATCGACATGCCTCTTGATTGGAGAAAAATGCATCTTCAGCTAATATCATACTAAAAAATCAAATAAAAAAAAGTGGGGCAGGCTTTATTCTGTAAAACAGATACTTACAGTGTACTGGGAAGGTTATAACTGTAAAAGCACCGGTAGAAGCGGAACTTTTAGGTGTTTAGTTTGGCTAAAATGGGTGTCTGTCTTCTATGCAGATTTGACTTTGGGTACTCGATTTTGCGAGGGCCACAAAATCAACTTGTGCCCATTTTGTTCAATCTAGCAGATTTTGTACCCATCTTTACTGCTTGTAAAAATTGAGAGTTTATAACGATTATTAATAATTAAAAATGAGCATATATACTCCTATTCTTAACTAAAAGTATATCTTACTGGCTTAACTCATTGAGTTACATTTTCTAATTGTACTAATCAAAGTCTCTGCATGCAAGAAGACGATCTAAAATTACTACAGTTGACTAATAATTAAGCTCATAAACTACCACAATGGCAAACATTGCCAAATAAAAGGAGGCTAAGATTCACCTTTTTTCAAGCAGAAAATTGAACATCACAAAACAGCTCAAAATCTGAAGCTCACTGAGTCACCCACCCAAAGTTCGCCAGACAGCCACTCACACGCAAATAAAAGAAAGCAGATATATTAGTATAAGGGTTGCTGCCAACATCAAAAACAAGAATCAAAATTATGCAAAACTTTGTTCACATACCAACAACATTCACCGTTGCTGCCAACATCAAAAACAAGAATCATAATTATGCAAAACTTTGTTCACAAACCAACAACATTCACCAAATGTAAAACTAAAGCTGCCCTTGATTTAAGCATATAAAAGGAAGCGCAGATTCGCCTTTTCAAGCAGAAGATTGATTCGCCTTTTCAAGCAGAAGATTGAAAATCACAAAAAATCTCAAAATCAGAAGCTCACGAGTCACTCACCCAAAGTTCACCAAACAGCCATTCACACACACAAGAAAGAAAGCAGATATATTGGTACAAGGGCTTTCGCCAACATGAGAAATAAGGATCAAAATTATGCCAAACTTTATTCACAAACCAATGACATTCATCGAATGTAAAACTCAACCCGATCTTGATTCAAATATATAAAAGGAGGCTCAGATTCGCTTTTTTCAAGCAGAAGATTGAACATCACAAAACAGCTCAAAACAAGAAGCTCACGAGTCATCCAACCAAATCGCTTTTTCCAAGCAGAAGATTGAACATCACAAACAAGAAGCTCACGAGTCATCCAACCAAATCGCTTTTTCCAAGCAGAAGATTGAACATCACAAAACAGCTCAAAATCAAAAGCTAACGAGTCATCCAACCAAAGTAAAGTAAAGCCGACCTTGATTTTAGCATATAAAAGGAGGGTCAGATTTGCCTTTTTCAAGCAGAAGATTGAACATTATAAAACAGCTCAAAATCAAGAGCTTACGAGTCACCCACCCAAAGTTCGCCAGACAGCCGCTCACATACGCAAAAAAGAAAGCAGATATATAAGGGTTGCTGCCAACATCGAAAACAAGAATCAAAATTATGCAAAACTTTGTTCACATACCAACAACATTCACCAAATGTAAAACTAAAGCTACCCTTGATTTAAGCATATAAAAGGAGGCGCAGATTCGCCTTTTCAAGCAGAAGATTGAAAATCACAAAAAAGCTCAAAATCAGAAGCTCACGAGTCACTCACCCAAAGTTCGCCAAACAGCCATTCACACACACAACCAAATCGCTTTTTTTTTTTCAAGCCCAGGAAGATTTGAAACATCACAAAACAGCTCAAACATCAGAAGCCTCACGACGTCATCCAACCAAAGTAAAGTTTAAAGCGACTTGATTTAAGCCATTATTAAAAGGAGGCTCAGATTTGCCCTTTTTCAAGCAGAAGATCTGAAACAACATCATAAAAACAGCTCAAAATCAAGAAGCTATTATGAATCAACCCACCCAAGTTCGCCAGACACGCCCACTCACACATCACAAGAAAGAATAAGAAAGCAAATTATATTCGGTATAACGTGTTGTTTGCCAAAATGAGAGACAAGCATCAAAATTATCTGCCACAGCTGTGTTCACATACCTAACAACATTCACCCGAATGCTAAAACTAAAAACCGACATTGATTCAGAGCATAAAAAAAAGGAATATGGCCTCAGCATTCTCCCTTTTTTAGAAGCAGAAGATGCGGAATCATCACAAACGCATCACAAATCAGAAGCACACGAGTCACCCCACTCGAAGTTAAACAACACGCCGACCTCGATTTAAAGCGCCATAAAAGGAGCTCAGATTCCCCTTTTCAACGCAGGAAGATTGAAACATCACAACAATCCTACTAAAAATCAAAAGCTCACGAGCTCACCCACCTTTGATTTAAGCATGTTAAAAAGGAAATTCACAGATTTGACCTTTTTCAAGGCAGAAGATGAATATCGCCAAGAGAGCTCAAAATCACCCACCTTGATTTAAGCATGTAAAAGGAATCACAGATTTGCCTTTTTCAAGCAGAAGATTGAATATCGCAAGAGAGCTCAAAATCAGAAGCTCATGAGTCTTTTTCAAGCAGAAGATAAAATATCACAAAAGAGCTCAAAATCAGAACCTCACGAGTTATCCACCCAAAGTAAACTAAAAACGACCTTGATTTTAGCATATAGGAGGGTCAGATTCGACATTTTCAAGCAGAAGATTGAACAACACAAAACAGCTCAAAATTAGAAGCTCACGAGTCACACACCCAAAGTTCGCAAGACAGCCACTCACACACAAAAGAAAGAAGGCAAATACATTGGTATAAGGGCGGTTGCCAACATGAGAAACAAGGATCAAAATTATGCCAAGCTTTGTTCACATACCGACAACATTCACCGAATGTGAAACAAAAGCCAACATTGATTTAAGCATATAAAAGGAGCCTCAGATTATCCTTTTTAAAGCAGAAGACTGAATATCACAAAATAGCTCAAAATCAGAAGCTCACGAGTCGCCCACTCAAAGTAAACAACAGCCGACCTTGATTTAAGCATATAAAAGGAGGCTCAGATTCCCCTTTTTCATGCAGAAGATTGAACATCACAAAGGACCTTAAAATTAGAAGCCCACGAGTCACCCACCTTGATTTAAGCATGTAAAAGGAGCCTCAGATTCCCCTTGTTCAAGCAGAAGATTGAATATCACAAAAGCGCTAAAAATGAGAAGCTCCAAGTCACCCACCTTGATTTATGCATGTAAAAGGAGTCTCAGATTTGCCTTTTTCAAATAGAAGATTGAATATCACAAAAAAGCTCAAAATCAGAAGCTCACGAGTCTTTTCAAGCAGAAGATTGAATATCACAAAAGAGCTAAAAATCAGAAAAAGAGCTCAAAATCAGAACCTCATGAGTCTTTTTCAAGCAGAAGATTGAATATCACAAAAGAGCTCAAAATCAGAACCTCATGAGTCACCCACCCAAAGTAAACAACAACCGACCTTGATTTAAGCATATAAAAGGAGGCTCAGATTCGCCATTTCAAGCAGAAGATTGAACATCACAAAACAGCTCAAAATTAGAAGCTCACGAGTCACACACCCAAAGTTCGCCAGACAGCCACTCACACACAAGAAACAAAATTAGAAAAGCTCACGAGTCACACACCCAAAGTTCGCCAGAAGCCACTCACCACACAAAGAAAAAAAGCAAAACAATATTATTGATATAAGGGCTGTTGCCAGTCCATGAGGAAACAAGAATCAAAAATTATGCCCAAAGCTTTGTTCACATAGCCAACAAACATTCAACCCACCGAATGTAAAAAACCTAAAGCCGACAGTTCACTATAAGAAATATAAAACGGAGCGCTCAAGATTCGCCTTTTTTAACATTCACCGAATGTAAAAATAAAGCCGACATTCATATAAGAATATAAAAGGAGGCTCAGATTCGCCTTTTTTAAGCAGAAGATTGAACATCACAAACCAGCTAAAAATCAGAAGCTCGCGAGCCATCTAATCAAAGTAAACAAAAACCGACCTTGATTTAAGCATATAAAGCATATAAAAGGAGGCTCAGATTCCCTTTTTTCATGCAGCAGATTGAACATGACAAAGGAACTCAAAATTAGAAGCCCACAAGTTACCCACCTTGATTTAATCATGTAAAAGGAGACTCAGATTCCCCTTGTTCAAGCAGAAGATTGAACATCACAAAAGAGCTAAAAAAGAGAAGCTCCACGTCACCCACCTTGATTTAAGCAAGTAAAAGGAGTCTCAGATTTGCCTTTTTAAAGCAGAAGATTGAATATCACAGAAGAGCTCAAAATCAGAAGCTCGTGAGTCTTTTTCAAGCAGAAGATTGAATATCACAAAAGAGCTCAAAGTCAAAACCTCGTGAGTCTTTTTCAAGCAAAAGATTGAACATCACAAAAGAGCTCAAAATCAGAACCTCAAGAGTCATCCACCCAAAGTAAACTAATGCCAATCTTGATTTTAGCATATAAAAGGAGGCTCAGAATCGCCTTTTTCAAGCAGAAGATTGAACATCACAAAACAGATCAAAATTAGAAGCTCACGAGTCACACACCCAAAGTTCACCATACAGCCACTCACACACACAAGAAAGAAAGCAAATATATTGGTATAAAGGCTGATGTCAGCATGAGAATCAAGGATCAAAATTATGCCGAGCTTTGTTCACATACCGACAACATTCACCGAATGTAAAACAAAAGCCGACATTGATTTAAGCATATAAAAGGAGCCTCAGATTATCCCTTTTAAAGCAGAAGATTGAAAATCACAAAATAGCTTAAAATCAGAAGCTCACGAGTCACCCACTCAAAGTAAACAACAGTCGACCTTCATTTAACCATATAAAAGGAGGCCCAGATTCCCTTTTTCAAGCAGAAGTTTGAACATCACAAAAGAGCTCAAAATTAGAAGCTCAAAAGTCACCCACCTCGATTTAAGCATGTAAAAGGAGTCTCATATTTGCCTTTTTCAAGCAGAAGATTGAATATCACAAAAGAGCTCAAAATCAGAGCTTCATGAGTCTTTTTCAAGCAGAAGATTGAATATCAAATCAAAGCTCATGAGTCTTTTTCACGCAGAAGTTTGAATATCACAAAAGTGCTCAAAATAAGAACCTCACGAGTCATCCACCCAAAGTAAACTAAAGCCGACCTTGATTTTAGCATATAAAACGAGGCTCAGATTCGCCTTTTTCAAGCAGAAAATTGAACATCACGAAACAGCTCAAAATTAGAAGCTTACGGGTCACACACCCAAAGTTCACCAGACAGCCACTCACACACAAGAAAGAAAGCAAATATATTGGTATAAGGGCTGTTGTCAGCATGAGACACAAGAATCAAAATTATGCAAAGCTTTGTTCACATAGCAAAAACATTCACCGAATGTAAAAATAAAGCCGACATTCATATAAGAATATAAAAGGAGGCTCAGATTCGCCTTTTTAAAGCAGAAGATTGAACATCACAAAAGCTTTGTTCCACATAGCAAAAAACATTCAAAACCGAATGTAAAAATAAAAGCCGACATTCATATAACATTCACCGAATGTAAAAATAAAGCCGACATTCATATAAGAATATAAAAGGAGGCTCAGATTCGCCTTTTTAAAGCAGAAGATTGAACATCACAAACCAGCTAAAAATCAGAAGCTCGCGAGTCATCTAATCAAAGTAAACAAAAACCGACCTTGATTTAAGCATATAAAGCATATAAAAGGAGGCTCAGATTCCCTTTTTTCATGCAGAAGATTGAACATCACAAAGGAGCTCAAAATTAGAAGCCCACGAGTCACCCACCTTGATTTAATCATGTAAAATGAGACACAGATTCCCCTTGTTCAAGCAGAAGATTGAACATCACAAAAGAGCAAATATACTGGTATAAGGGCTGTTGCCAGCATGAGAAACAAGAATCAAAATTATGCAAAGCTTTGTTCACATAGCAACAAACTAAAGCTGACATTGATTTAAGCATATAAAAGGAGCCTCACAGTATCCCTTTTAAAGCAGAAGATTGAATATCACAAAATAGCTTAAAATCAGAGGCTCACGAGTCACCCACTCAAAGTAAACAGCAGCCGACCTTGATTTAAGCATATAAAAGGAGGCTCAGGTTACCTTTTTCAAGCAGAAGATTTATAAAGGGAGGCTTAGGTTCCCTTTTTCAAGCAGAAGATTGAAAATCACAAAAGAGCTCAAAATTAGAAGATCATGAGTCGCCCACCTTGATTTAGGCATTTAAAACGAGTCTCAGATTTGCCCTTTTCAAGCAGAGGATTGAATATCAGAAAAGGGCTCAAAATCAGAAGCCCTAGAGTCTCTTTCAAGCAGAAGATTGAATATCACAAAAGAGCTCAAAATCAGACGCTCATGGGTCTTTTTCACGCAGAAGATTGAATATCAAAAAATAGCTCAAAATCAGAACCTCACGAGCCATCCACCCCAAGTAAACTAAAGCCTACTTTGATTTTAGCATATAAAATGAGGCTTAGATTTGCCTTTTTCAAGCAGAAGATTGAACATCACAAAAAAACAGCTCAAAATTTAAAGCTCACAAGTCAACACACCCACAGTTTGCCAGACAGCCACGCACGACACACAAGAACTAAAAAGCAAATATACTCCGTATAAGGGCTGATTGCAGCTAATGAGAAATAGAAAGAATCAAACTTATGCAATTGCCTGTTCACATTAGCAACAATCATCACCCGCAATTTAAAAACTAAAGCCGACGATTGCATATTCAGCATATCAAAGGAGCCTCCAGATTTATCCCTTTTTTAAAGCCAGAAAGATTGAATATCACAAAATAGCATCAAAATAGGAGACTCCGCAGTCACCCACTCAAAGTAACAGCAGCCGACTTGATTTAAGCATATAAAAAGGAGGCTAAGCGGTTACCTTTTTTCAAGCAGAAGATTGAACATCACAAAATGAGCCCCTTCAAAATTAGAAGATCTTGAGTCACCCCACCTTGATTTAAGCATATTAAAAATGAGTCTCAGATTAGCCCTTTCAAGCCAAGCAGGACTTGAATATCAGAAAGGGCTCAAAATCAGAAGCTCATTTGAGTCTACTTTTCAAGCAGAAGATTTGAATATCATCAAAAGAACCTCAAAATTCAGACAACTCATGAGTCTCTTTCAAGCAGTAAGATTGAATATCACAAAGAGCCTCAAAAATCAGACGCTCATGAGTCTTTTCACGCAGAAGATTGAATATCACAAAAGAGCTCAAAAATCAGAACCTCACGAGTCATCCACCCCAAGTCCAAGTAAACTAAAGCCTACTTTGATTTTACCATATAAAAGGAGGCTTAGATTTGCCTTTTTCAAGCAGAAGATTGAACATCACAAAACAGCCCAAAATTAGAAGCTCACGAGTCACACACCCACAGTTTGCCAGACAGTCACTCACACACACAAGAAAGAAAGCAAATATACTGGTATAAGGGGTGTTGCCAGCATGAGAAAGAAGAATCAAATTATGCAATGCTGTGTTCACATAGCAACAACATTCACCGAATTTAAAACTAAAGCCGACATTGATTTAAGCATATAATAGGAGCCTCTGATTATCCCTTTTAAAGCAGTAGATTGAATATCACAAAAGAGCTCAAAATCAGAACCTCACGAGTCATCCACCCCAAGTAAACTAAAGCCTACTTTGATTTTACCATATAAAAGGAGGCTTAGATTTGCCTTTTAAAGGAGGGGGGGGGGGGGGGGGGGGGGTGGGGGGGGGGGAGAGGGGGCTTAGATTTTGCCTTTTTTCAATTCAGAAGATTGAACATCACAATGATACAGCGTTCAAAATTAGAAGCTCACGAGTTCACACACCCACAGTTTTGCCAGACAGCCACTCACACACACAAGAAAGAAAGCCCATATATAACTAGCGTATAAGGAGGGGGTGTTGCCAGCCTATGAGAAAGAAGAATCAAAATTATGCAATGCTCTGTTCACATAGCAACAACATTCAACCGAATTAGAAACTAAAGCCGAGCATTTGATTTAAGCATCATAATAGGCAGCCTCTGATTATTATCCGCCTATTTAAAGCAGAAGATTGATTGAATATTCACAAAATAGCGTCAAAAATCAGAAGGCTCACGAGTCACCCACTCAAAAGTAAACAGCAGCCGACCTTGATTTAAGAATATAATAAGGAGGCTCGCACGGGTCCCTCTTTTCAACCATGAAGATTGAAAATCACAAAAGAGCTCAAAATTATCGTAGATCATGAGTCGCCCCACCTTGATTAAGCATTTTAAAACGTGAGTCGCTCAGATTTGCCCTTTTCAAGCATGAGGATTGCCCCTTTTCAAGCAGAGGATTGAATATCAGAGAAGGGCTCAAAATCAGAAGCTCATGAGTCTCTTTCAAGCAGAAGATTGAATATCACAAAAGAGCTCATGAGTCTTTCTCACGCAGAAGATTGAATATCACAAAAGAGCTCAAAATCAGAACCTCATGAGTCATGCACTCAAAGTGAACTAAAGCCGACCTTGATTTTATCATATAAAAGGAGGCTCAGGTTCGCCTTTTTCAAGCAGAAGATTGAACATCACAAAACAGCTCAAAATTAGAAGCTCACGAGTCACACACCCAAAGTTCGCCAGACAGCCACTCACACTCACCACACACAAGAAAGAAAACAAATATATTCGGTATAAGGGCTGGTTGCCTAACATGAAGAACAAGGATCAAAATTATGCAAAGCAGTAGTTCCACGCACAGCAATCGACATTCAATCCGAATGTAAAGTAAAGCCGAAATGATTAATTGCATTGTAAAAGGAGTCTCACCGATTTTGTCTCTTTTCAAGCAGCAAGATTTGAATATCACAAAAAGTGCCTCAAAGACCAAAAGCCTTCAACTGAGTGACCCCCACCCAAAGTAAACTAAAGCCGACATTGATCTTTAAGCATATAAAAAGAGGCCAGATTCGGCCTTTCATCAAGCCATAAAATTGAATATCATCAAAACAGCTCAAAATTTAGTAAGGCTCACGAGTTCACACAAAACCAAAGTTGCCAACAGCACTCACACTACACATAGAAAAAGTACAAGCACCAATTTATTGGTATAAGGGCTCTTGCCAGCATGAGAAACTATTGGTATAAGGGCTGTTGCCAGCATGAGAAACAAGGATCAAAATTATGCCAAGCTTTGTTCACATACCAACAACATTCAACGAATGTAATGCTAAACCCGACCTTGATTTAAGCGTATAAAAGGAGGCTCAGATTCCCCTTTTTCAAGCGGAAGATTGAACATCACAAAAGAGCTCAAAATCAGAATCACACAAGTCACACACCAAAAGTTCGCTTGACAGCCACTCACACACACGAGAAAGCAAATATATTGGTATAAGGGTTTTTGCCAGCATGATAAACAAGGAGGCAAGATCATATGTAATACTAACAACATACTTCATGGTACATTGATGATGAACAATAATAACGACGATCCTAACACTTTATTGTGCTTCATGCCAAATTATGTACACACAAGGATCATATGTAACGTATCGTGAGAAACAGCCACTAACACTTTCTTCACCATAAGTACATACCAGGATCAGCATTCCGCTTTGCTAGCCAACGTAGCTCTCCAGCAGCTGCTCTTTGTTGTTCTGGATTCCCATTTGCCAATTTCTCTAATAAGGCAACAATAGCAATTCGATCACAATCTGAAAAACTGGTTCCAATTTTTTTTCCATATTTTTTTTTTTCTATAACCTCCTTGTTGTGTTAGGCAGCTCAACACCATTGCTTTCCACACGACACATCCTTGTTGTTTAGGCAGCTCAACACCATTGCTTTCACACCACAATGCCATCAAACTCTTCAAAATATAATTAGGTGTTAGAGCAGTATGCAACCGTGTTTGCTGTGTCTTTGGACAAGTCTTGTGTCCTGCATCTAGCCATTTTTGGATGCACGATCTTTCATAGGTCTGCAGAATGAAGACAATTTATGAACAATGGCCACTAAAAATTTACAAAGCAACGAATTATGACACAAGTCGTAGCCAAACCTGTCCAGTAGAGACAATCACAGGATCTTTCATTAGTTCTAGAGAAATTGGGCATCGAAAATCATCTGGGATAACGGGAGATCTGTGCTTAAATGAACTCTTTTCAGCCTCGGAATTATCAGCTTCAGGGTTTCCCATTTCAACGTAGTCCTTCAAATTCATAAGGATGGATGACATCTTTTGTAACCATTCTCCAAGATCACCATTGCTCGAGATAATCATCTCATGGAAAGCAACAGAATCTTTCTTTAGATCACTTATGGTCTTGAGTTCCAACTTTCCAATTGTTATTCAAACCTCTCGTTCTCCTGAGATAATCGTTCTCCTGAGATAAGAAAAACAGAAAATGTAACCCCAATAGACAACTCAAGCAAGTTTGAAGCTTTTAGAACCTTGAACAAAATCTTAATTCACATTTTCGCATGATTTTAAGACGCGTTAGAATTCACGCGTTAGAATTCAAATACCAATCATAGCACTATCCTGTGAACCATACATAGTAAAATTCAATTTAGGAAGTCGTGATCAAAGAAATTCCATATCCATGATGCATTAGAAAAAACATAATTTACTACTCCAAAAATGATTTATGTAGTTATATATATATACCGTCCTAAGAACCAAAAATACAAACAGAACAAGCGGAATAGAGAAAGAACCCTATTGAATATCTTAATGCCCCAGGATTTGAATTAAACATGGATAGCAACTTCTAGTACAAAATAAATAACTGATTGCCCTTTAAGGCTCTAAACTAAACAGAGCGCTTTAAGGCTGCTAAACTAAACAGAGCACTCGTGAAACGAACCGAATCTAGAAAGCAATGTCTCCTCTGATTGGTGTAATTCAAGCTTTCGACTGTTATTTTCGATACTTTAAGAATTCTGCAATTAACTACGATAAGCACCATTTCTTGAGAGCAAGGATTGACGCCGGTGAGTATTTGCGACGAGTGCTTGTGAAGTTGATCGATCTGACTTCTGAAACGACGCGACGGAGCGTCCCCAGGTCTCTATTTTCTTGCTAATCTTTTCCTTCAACGCCTCCCATTGGTCGAAGTGGAAGATTGGAGTCTTGAAAGCTCGGTGGTGTGAAGAACGAGCGCATTAAACAAAATAGAGTTTTAGAATTAGGGTTAGGGTTTAAGTAATGTTGGAGGGGCGGGTGATTACATAGGGAAGAAGGGGGATGACGGCTGGCGGAATCAGCGTAGAAATGAAAGCGGCGAACTAAAGCCCCTAGTTGGCACGTGAGACTATGAAGAGAGGCGAAAAGGAAAAACAGAGAACTACGCGCCTAAACGAGGTCATGGACTCGTGAGAGGTCGGTGCAGGGTCGGTGGGGCTCGAGTTTGCGGCTAGCGTGCGCCATCATTTGGGTCAATATTTATATAGACCACTAATAAAAAATAGTTCAATTATTTTTTAGCAATCTAAGTAAAAAAAAATGAAGATGAAATGAAAAAATAATGATATTTTACTTTGGCTAGAAGTTGACAAATATTACTTACCAAAGCGTATTTAAAGAAAAAGTGCCACACAAAATTCCTGAAAGCCTCAAAAGGTGACCTAAAACAAAAATATAGTTATTTTTCTTCAATCTGATAAACACTAAATTTTTTTCAAGTGAAAGCACGATTTAGAATAGTAAGAAAAAATATATATAAAAAAAAGTTAAAAAAAATAGTTCAAGTGAAACAGATTTAGAATATAAGAAAAAATAATATAAAAAAAATTAAAAAATACTTGATCATCAAAATGTCATCTATTCCTTGTTAAAGTGATAATAGTTACAAATTAATTCAATTACAAAAAAATGAAAAATTATTATTTAGAATAAAACTCTTCTCAAAACTCAACGCATACTAAGAAAACAAAAATTATCGTTTTTAATTCCAAAAACCACCCTTTTTTCACTGAAAATCCCACAAAAAGTTAAAGCCGAGTCAATAAATAAAAATTACAAAAGAAATCATTTTAACATTCAATTATAACATTTTAAAAAAATTAAGTCATCACTCAATCTTCAACTCAACTGTAATCAATATTTATATAGCCACTAATAAAAAATGATCAATTATTTTTTACAACTAAGTAAAAAAAAATAAAATGAAATGAAAAAATAATGATATTTACTTTGGCTAGTGACAATATTACTTACCAAGCATATTAAAGAAAAAGTGCACACAAATTCTGAAACCTCAAAAGTGACCTAAAACAAAAATATAGTTCTTTTTCTTCAATATGATAAACACTATTTTTTTCAAGCGAAACAGATTTAGAATATAGGAAAAAAAAATAAAAAAAAAATTAAAAATACTTAGTCATCACAATATCATCTATTTCTTGTTAAAGTGATAATAGTTATAAACTAATTCAATAACAAAAATATAAAAAATAATCATTTAGAATAAAATTCTTCTTAAAACTCAACGTATACCAAGAAAATAAAAATTATCAATTTTAATTTCAAAAACAACTCTTTTTTTCAATTGAAAATTCCATTATTTAATGAAATTTGATGTCGGTGGGCCCAAAAAAAAAAGATTAAAATCAAGTTAATAAATGAAAATTACAAAATAAATCATGTTAGAATTCCAATATTGATCAGCTAATCAGTTTATCTAAATATTTATTTCTCTATTATTATAAATTACGATTTAAAATAAATAAGTTAATTAATCTCAATAAAAAAGAAAAAAAAAAACATTACATTATCTTTAAATAAACCCTGAATTTTTTTCTATAACCATACAAAAAATATATATATTCTATTTGAAAATTTATTTTTAAACATATATGTATCAAATCATACAAACATAAAGAAAAAAGAAATTTATTTTTAATAACATATATGTAATCAAAGTCATACAAACGATAGAAAAAAAGAGATAATAAAAAGAAAGTTATTTTTATCTCTCTCGCTAAAATATTTTTAATTATAATGTAAAATAAATTTGAATATTTAAAAAATAAAAAATATAAGGAAAATTAAGTCTATGTCTCCATTATCTTGCATATATATATACATATATAAAATTATATAAAATAAAACATAAAATTTTGAAATTCTAATAATGTTTTTATTAATTTTTCTAATATTTCACTTTTCTTAATTATTTTTTTCTCTTTTTTATTATTCAATGATGATTTGCTCTTTAATTATATGAATTTTAACATTCAATTATAACATTTTAAGAAAACAGTCTCACTTCACTCTATTGCAAATCAATATTTATTAACTACCAATAAAAAATGATAAATTGTTTTTTCTTGCTAGGTAAAAAAAATGAAATGAAAAAAATAATCTGAATCAATAATGATATTCACTTTGGCTAGTGACAGTGTTACTTACCCAGTGCATTAAAAAATATAGGAGAAAAAAATATCAAAAAAATTAAAATTACTTTATCATCAAAATGTCATCTATTTTTTGTTAAAGTGATAATAGTTATAAATTAATTCAATAACAAAAAAAAATTATTATTTAGAATAAAACTCTTCTCAAAACACAATGTATAAAATGAAAACAAAAATTATCAATTTTAATTTAAAAAACAACCCCTTTTTCAATTGAAAATTCTATAATTTAATGAAATTTGATGTCTGATGAACAAAAAAAAAAAAAAAAATTGTCTGATGAACCAAAAAAAAAAAAAAAAAACGCAAAATCAATAAATGAAAATTACAAAACAATCGTGTTAGGAATTTTCATTATTGATAGTTAAAGAAACAAATTTTATCGCATTAGTTATAAAGTTCAATTTAAAAATAAAAAAGTTAATGTAATTTCAGTAAAAAAGAATTTAAAAAAATCTTTTGAATTGTTCTCTAATAACGCATACAGAAAAAAGTATATATTCTTATTAAAAAGATGTTATTTTTAAAACATATATTAATGAAGATCATACAAACATAGAAGAAAAAGGACATTAAAAAAATAGCATATTTTCATGCTCTTTCCTACAACTGATTTTTAGAATTTAATTAAAATAAATTTGAATATTTAAAAAATAAGAATATAAAAGATTCATGCCGTCATTATCATTCATTATATATATATTTATTACAAAATAGAAATATAGAAATTTTGAAATTCATAAATAATATTTTTATTAATTTTTCTAATATTGTCACTTTTCTTAATATTTATTCTCTTTTTGTATTATTCAAGTGATGATTGGCTCTTCAATTTTGTGACTTTTGAACATTCAAGCTATAACATTTAAAAAAAAAAAAACAAGTCGAGACTCGATCTTCACTCCTTCACTCATGCTACAAATCAATTTTTATAACAAACCAAACTAACGAAAAATAATGACATAAATTATTTTTTTAGGCTGGCTAAGGTAAAACAAATGAAATGAAAAAATAATCTAAATCAATAAATGATATTGCACTTTGGCTAGTGGACGGATATACATTTAACCCAATCCATTAAGGAAAAAAATATATGGCAGCTGCAAATTTCTTAAAAGACGCGTCCAAAAGTGACTAAAATAAAAGATATAGACTATTTTTCTTTTTTTTTTTTTTTTAATATGCAATAAAGACTATTTTGCTTTTTTTTTTTTTTTTAATATCATAAAGACTATTTTCTTTCAAGCCAAAACACATTTAGAATATAAGAGAAAATAACGTCAAAAAAATTAAAAAAACTTAATCATCAAAATATCATATATTTCTTGTTAAAGTGATAATAATAACAGATTAAATCAATAAAAAAAAATAAAAAATTATTATTTAAAATAAAACACTTCTCAAAACTCAAAACTCAACGTATAACAAGAAAACAAAAATTATCAATTTTAATTTAAAAAACAACCCTTTTTTCAACTGAAAATCCCAAAATTTAATGAAATTTGATGTCCATAGACAAAAAAAAAAAAAAAGAATTAAAGCCAAGTTAATAAATGAAAATTACAAAACAAATCATTTTAGGATCCCAATATTGATCAGTTAATCAGTTTATCAAAGTATTTTATTTATCTATTATTACAAGTTACAATTTGAAATAAATAAGTTAATTAATTTCAATAAAAAAGATTAAAAAAAAAACATTTTATCATCTTAAATGAACTCTGAATTTTCTCTATAAACATAAAAAAAAAAAAATCCATTTGAAAAAAATAAAAATTATCAATTTTAATTTCAAAAACAACCCTTCTTTTCAATTGAAAATCCCATAATTTAATGAAATTGATGGACAAAAAAAAAAAAAGCCAAATCAATAAATAAAAATTACAAAATAAATCATGTTAGAATTCCAATATTGATCTGTTAATCAGTTTATCTAAGTATTTTATTTCTCTATTATTATAAGTTACAATTTAGACTAAATAACTTAATTAATTTCAGTAAAAAAGATTATATTTTCCAGTAAAAAAGATTATATATATATAAAAAAAATTACATCAATCTTAAAATGAAACTTTGATATTTTTCTGATTAATCATACAAAAATATATATTATCTATTTGAGAATTTATTTTTTTTAATATATATCCATCAAAATCATAGAAACATAAAGAAAAGAACATTTAAAAAATAACATATTTTTATCTCTCCCCTAAAAATATTTTAACTTATAAATAAAATAATTCAATATTTTTAAAATAAATATAAAATTATCAATGTCTCATTACAATTCAAATATATATATATATATATATATATTATATATATATATTATATATATATATATATAGAATTTGGCAAAATAAAACACAGAATTTTTGAAATTCTTAATAAATGTTTTTATAGATTTTTCTATATTTCAATATTTCAATTTTCTTAATCATTTTTTCTCGCTTTTTTATTATTCAATGAACATTATTAATTTTTCTAATATTTCAATTTTCTTAATAATTTTTTCTCTTTTTTATTATTTAATGATGATTTGCTCTTGAATTTTATTACTTTTAACATTCATATAACATTTAAAAAAAAAACAAGTCGACCGGATCTTCATCCCTTTCACTCATCTGCAAATCAATATTTATATAACCACTAATAAAAAATAATAATAATAATAAATTATTTGTTATTTCTAGGTAAAACAAATGAAATGAAAAAATAATATGAAACAATAATGATATTTACTTGGCTAGTAACGGTATTACTCACACGGTGCATTAAGGAAAAAAATATATGCACACAAATTCTTAAAAAACCGCCAAAAGTGACCTAAAACGAAAAAAAAAAAGTTCTTTTATATCATACACACTATTTTATTTCAAGTCAAATAAATTTAAAATATAAAAGACAATAATATCAAAAAAATTAAAAATACTTGATCATCAAAATGTCGTATATTTCTTGTTAAAGTGATAATAGTTAAAATTTAATTCAATAACCAAAAAAAATAAAAAAATTATTATTTAAAATAAAACTCTTCTCAAAACTCAACCTATAACAAGAAAACAAAAACTATCAATTTTAATTTCAAAAACAACCATTTTTTCAACTGAAAAGTCCATAATTTAATGAAATTTGATGTCGATAGGTCCATAATTTAATGAAATTTGATGTCCGATAGACCAAAAAAAAAAAAAAAAAAAAAAAAAAAGAATTAAAGCCAAGTCAATAAATGAAAATTACAAAACAAATCACTTTAGGATCCAATATTGATCAGTTAATCACTTTAACGAAGTATTTTATTTCTCTATTATTATAAGTTACAATTTAGACTAAATAACTTAATTAATTTCAGTAAAAAAGATTATATATGAAAAAAAACATTACATCATTTTCAAATGAACTCTGAATTTTTTCTATAACCATACAGAAAATATATATATTCTATTTATAAATTTATTTTTTTAAATATGTATCCATCAAATCATAGAAACATAAAGAAAAAAGAACATTTAAAAAGAATATATTTTTATCTCTCCTAAAAATATTTTAACTTATAAATAAAAGAAATTCAAATATTTTAAAAATAAAATATAAAAATTATCATGTCATGTCTCGTGTACCAATTCATATATATATTATAGAATTTGCAGATAAAACATAGAAATTTTGAAATTCTTAAATAATGTTTTTATAATTTTCTAATATTTCAATTTTCTTAATCATTTTTTCTTCTCTTTTTATTATTCATATTGATGATTGCTCTTGAAATTTTATTACTTTTAACATTCATATAACATTTAAAAAAAAACAATCGGGCTGGATCTTCATCCCCTTCCTCATCTGCAAATCAATATTTATATAACCACTAATAAAAAAAAAAAATAATAATAAATTATTTTGTTATTGCTAGGTAATAAAACAAATGAAATGAAAAAAATCAAAATAAATGATATTTTACTTTGGCTAAGTTGACGGTATTAACTTATCCCGGCCGGTGCATTAAGGAAAAAAATATACGCACGTAAATTCTTAAAAAACCCCCAAAAGTGACCTAAAATAAAAAAAAAAATAATTCTTTTTTTTTCACTATCATACACACTATTTTATTTCAAGTCAAACAGATTTAGAATATAAAAGAAAATAATATGAAAAAAATTAAAAATACTTGATTATCAAAATTTCGTATATTTTTTGTTAAAGTGATAATAGTTACAAATTAATTCAATAACAAAAAAATAAAAAAATTATTATTTAAAATAAAACTCCTCTCAAAACTCATAACAAGAAAACAAAAATTATCAATTTTAATTTCAAAAACAACTTTTTTTTTCAATTGAAAAGCCCATAATTAAATGAAATTTGATGTCGATAGACAAAAAAAAAAGAATTAAAGCCAAATTAATAAGTGAAAATTACAAAACAAAACACTTTAAGATCCCAATATTAATCAGTTAATCAGTTTATCGAGGTATTTTATTTATCAATTATTATAACTTACAATTTGAAATAAATAAGTTAATTAATTTCAGTAAAAAAGATTTAAAAAAAAAACATTGTATCATCTTCAAATAAACTCTGAATTTTCTATATAACCATACAAAAAAAAAAAAAAAAAATTCTATTTGAAAATTTATTTTAAAAAAAAAAATTCCTATTTTGAAAATTTATTTTTAAAAAGATAACATTAAATAAATACAAACATAAATGAAAAAACAAACATTTAAGAAAATATATATTTTTTATCTCTCCTAAAAAATATTTTAACTTATAAATAAAAATAATTCTAATATTTAAAAATAATATTTTAACTTATAAATAAAATAAATTCTAATATTTTAAAAATAAAATATAAAAATTATCATGTCTCGTTACCATTCATATATATATAGAATTTGCAGATAAAACATAGAATTTTGAAATTCTTAATAATGTTTTTATTAGTTTTTCCAATATTTCAATTTTCTTAATATTTTTTTTCTTTTTTTTATTATTCAATGATGATTTGCTCTTGAATTTTATTACTTTTAACATTCATATAACATTTTAAAAAAAACAAGTCGACTGGATCTTCATCCACTTCACTCATATGCAAATCAATATTTATATAATAACTAATAAAAAATAACAATAATAAATAATTATTTGTTATTACTAAGTAAAACAAATGAAATGAAAAAATAAACTGAATCAATAATGATATTTACTTTGACTAGTGACAGTATTACTTATCCGGTGCATTACGAAAAAAATATACGCACGCAAATTCTTAAAAAACCCACAAAAGTGACCTGAAACGAAAAAATAGTTCTTTTTTTTTTCAATATCATACACAATATTTTATTTCAAGTCAAACAAATTTAGAATATAAAAGAAAATAATATCAAAAAAATTAAAAATACTTGATCATCAAAATGTCCTATATTTCTTGTTAAAGTGATAATAGTTACAAATTAATTCAATAACAAAAAAAAAATTATTATTTAAAATGAAACTCTCCTCAAAACTCATCGTATAACAAAAAAAAAAAACAAAAATTATCAATTTTAATTTCAAAAACCACCCTTTTTCAACTGAGAAGCCCATAATTTAATGAAATTTGATGTAAAAATAAAATAAAATAAAATAAACCCAAGTTAATAAATGAAAATTACAAAACAAATCACTTTAGGATCCAATATTGATCGGTTAATCAGTTTAACGAAGTATTTTATTTATCCATTATTATAAGTTACAATTTGAAATAAATAAGTTAATTAATTTCAGTAAAAAAGATTTAAAAAAAAAAACATTATATCATCTTCAAATGAACTCTGAATTTTCTCTATAACCATACAAAAAAGATATCTATTAAATCATACAAACATAAAGAAAAAAGAACATTAACAAAATACATATTTTTCTCTTTCCTAAAAATATTTTTAATCATAATTAAATTAAATTAGAATAATTAAAATATAAAATATAAAATTTATCATGTCTCATTATCGTGATCGACATGCCTCTTGATTGGAGAAAAATGCATCTTCAGCTAATATCATACTAAAAAATCAAATAAAAAAAAGTGGGGCAGGCTTTATTCTGTAAAACAGATACTTACAGTGTACTGGGAAGGTTATAACTGTAAAAGCACCGGTAGAAGCGGAACTTTTAGGTGTTTAGTTTGGCTAAAATGGGTGTCTGTCTTCTATGCAGATTTGACTTTGGGTACTCGATTTTGCGAGGGCCACAAAATCAACTTGTGCCCATTTTGTTCAATCTAGCAGATTTTGTACCCATCTTTACTGCTTGTAAAAATTGAGAGTTTATAACGATTATTAATAATTAAAAATGAGCATATATACTCCTATTCTTAACTAAAAGTATATCTTACTGGCTTAACTCATTGAGTTACATTTTCTAATTGTACTAATCAAAGTCTCTGCATGCAAGAAGACGATCTAAAATTACTACAGTTGACTAATAATTAAGCTCATAAACTACCACAATGGCAAACATTGCCAAATAAAAGGAGGCTAAGATTCACCTTTTTTCAAGCAGAAAATTGAACATCACAAAACAGCTCAAAATCTGAAGCTCACTGAGTCACCCACCCAAAGTTCGCCAGACAGCCACTCACACGCAAATAAAAGAAAGCAGATATATTAGTATAAGGGTTGCTGCCAACATCAAAAACAAGAATCAAAATTATGCAAAACTTTGTTCACATACCAACAACATTCACCTCAAAATTTATGCAAAAACTTTGTTCACATACCACAACATTCACCAAATGTAAAACTAAAGCTGCTGCCCTTGATTTAAGCATATAAAAGGAAGCGCAGATTCGCCTTTTCAAGCAGAAGATTGAAAATCACAAAAAATCTCAAAATCAGAAGCTCACGAGTCACTCACCCAAAGTTCACCAAACAGCCATTCACACACACAAGAAAGAAAGCAGATATATTGGTACAAGGGCTTTCGCCAACATGAGAAATAAGGATCAAAATTATGCCAAACTTTATTCACAAACCAATGACATTCATCGAATGTAAAACTCAACCCGATCTTGATTCAAATATATAAAAGGAGGCTCAGATTCGCTTTTTTCAAGCAGAAGATTGAACATCACAAAACAGCTCAAAACAAGAAGCTCACGAGTCATCCAACCAAATCGCTTTTTCCAAGCAGAAGATTGAACATCACAAAAAGATTGAACATCACAAAACAGCTCAAAATCAAAAGCTAACGAGTCATCCAACCAAAGTAAAGTAAAGCCGACCTTGATTTTAGCATATAAAAGGAGGGTCAGATTTGCCTTTTTCAAGCAGAAGATTGAACATTATAAAACAGCTCAAAATCAAGAGCTTACGAGTCACCCACCCAAAGTTCGCCAGACAGCCGCTCACATACGCAAAAAAGAAAGCAGATATATAAGGGTTGCTGCCAACATCGAAAACAAGAATCAAAATTATGCAAAACTTTGTTCACATACCAACAACATTCACCAAATGTAAAACTAAAGCTACCCTTGATTTAAGCATATAAAAGGAGGCGCAGATTCGCCTTTTCAAGCAGAAGATTGAAAATCACAAAAAAGCTCAAAATCAGAAGCTCACGAGTCACTCACCCAAAGTTCGCCAAACAGCCATTCACACACAACAACAGCCGACCTCGATTTAAGCGCATAAAATGAGACTCAGATTCCCCTTTTTCAAGCAGAAGATTGAACATCACAAGACTACTAAAAATCAGAAGCTCACGAGTCACCCACCTTGATTTAAGCATGTAAAAGGAATCACAGATTTGCCTTTTTCAAGCAGAAGATTGAATATCGCAAGAGCAAAAATCAAGATGCTTTATGAAGTCACCCATCAAAGTTCGCCAGACAGCCACTCACACACACAAGAAAGAAAGCAAAATATATTGGTATAAGGTTTGTTGCCAAAAAATGAGAGACAAGATCAAATTATGCCAAGCTTTGTTCCACATACCAACAACATTCACCGAATTGTAAAACTAAAAACCGACATGATTCAAAGCATAAAAAAAGGAGGCTCAGATTCCTGCCTTTTTAAAGCTATGTAAAGATTGAATATCACAAAATAGCTCAAAATCAGAAGCTAACACCCGAGTCAACCCCACTCGACACGAGTCACCCACTCGAAGTAAACAACAGCCGACCTCGATTTAAGCGCATAAAAGGAGGCTCAGATTCCCCTTTTTCAAGCAGAAGATTGAACATCACAAAACAGCTCAAAATTAAAAGCACACGAGTCAAACACCCAAAGTTCGCCAGACAGCCACTCACACACTCAAGAAAAAAAGCAAATATATTGGTATAAGGGCTGTTGCAAGCATGAGAAACAAGAATAAAAATTATGCAAAGCTTAGTTCACATAGCAACAACATTCGCCGAACGTAAAAATAAAGCCGACATTGATATAAGCATATAAAAGGAGGCTCAGATTCGCCAGATTTCGCCTTTTTTAAAGCAGAGATTGAACAATCACAAACAAGCCTAAAAGAACAGAAGCTCCGCGAAGTCACCCAATCAAAAGTTAAACAAAAACCGAACTTGATATGTTATATAAAAGGAGGCTGCGGATTTCCCCTTTTTCCATGCAGAAGATTGAACATCACAAGGAGCTAAAAATTTAGAAGCCCACGAGTCACCCAACCAGTCGCCAGAACAGCCACTCAGTACACACAAGAAAGAAAGCAAATATACTGGTAATATAGGGCCTGTTGGCCCAGCAATAAGAAACAAGGATAAAATTATGCAAAGCTTTGTTCTAAACACAGCAAACAACATTCACACGAATTTTAAAAACTAAAGCGGTCATTAATTTAAAGCATATTAAATAGGAGCCTCAGATTATCCCTTTTTAAAAGCAAGAAGATTGAATATCAAAACATAGCTCAAAATCAGAAGTTCATCGAGTCCCCCACTCAAAGTAAACAGGCAGCCGAACTTTTGTTTTAAGCATATAAAAGGAGGCTTAGGTTCCCTTTTTCAAGCAGAAGATTGAACATCACAAAAGAGCTCAAAATTAGAAGCTCATGAGTCCCCACCTTGATTTAATTATGTTAAAGGAGTCCCAGATTTGCCTTTTTCAAGCAGAACATTGAATATCACAAAAGAGCTCAAAATCAGAAGCTCATGAGTCTTTTTCACGCAGAAGATTGAATATCACAAAAGAGCTCAAAATTAGAACCTCATGAGTCATGCACCCAAAGTGAACTAAAGCCGACCTTGATTTTAGCATATAAAAGGACGCTCAGATTCGCCTTTTTCAAGCAGAAGATTGAATATCACAAAACAGCTCAAAATGAAGCTTCACGAAAGTCAAACCACCCGAGTTCGCAGGAACAGCCACTCACACACACAAGAAAAAAAAAGCAACATATATTCTGGTATAGGGCTGTTTGCAAGCATTTGAGAAACAAGAATTAAAATTTATTGCAAAGCTTAGTTCACATAGCAACAACATATCGCGACAGATAAAAAATAAAGCCGACATAGATGATAAGCATATAAAAAGGGAGGCTCAGATTTTCGCCTTTTAAAGACAGAAGATTGAACATCACAAACCCAGCTAAAAGACAAGAAGCTTCGCGAGCCTCACGGCCAATTCAAAAGCAAAACAAAAACCGACCAAATTATACAAGAGGAGGTGCTTTGGATTCCCCTTTTTGTCATGCGCAAGAGACTTGAACAATCACAAAGGAGCTACAAAAATTAGGAAAGCCCACGAGTCACACCACCAAAGGTTCGCCAGACAGCCACTCCAGACACAACAAGTAAGGAAAGCTCAAGAATATACTCCGCGTATAAGGGCTGTTGCCGGCTGAGTGTGAGAACAGGGACATCAAATTATGCAAACCTTTGTTCACACGCCCCAGCGTAACAAATGTCACCCGGAATTTTCACAACTAAAGCCGTCATTCAATTTTAAGCATATAAATAGGAGCCTTCAGATTCACCTTCCCTCTTAAAGCAGAAGATTGAACTATCAAAACCATAGCTCAAAATCAGAAGTTCGACGAGTCCCACTCACAAGTAAAACCTACATCGAACTTGTTTAAGCATATAAAAGGAAGGCTTTAGGTTACCCATTTTTCCACAGCAGAATATTGAACCATCACCAAACAGAGCTTTCAAAATCTAGAATGCTCATGAGGTCCCCCACCTTGATTAACATGCAGAAAGGCAGTCTCAGATGGCTTTTCTCAAGCAGAAGGAATGAATATCACAAAGCGAGCTCCAAATTCAGAAGCTCATGAGTCCTTTTTTCAAGCAGGAGAGTTTAATATCACAAAAGAGCTCATGAGTCGTTTTTCACGCAGAGAATTGGAATATCCACAAACAGACTCAAAATCAGACAGTCTCATGATCTTTTTCATGCAGAAGCATTGAATATTCACAGAACGAGCTCATGAGCTCTTTTTTCACGCACGAAGATGAACATATCACAAACAGAGCTCAAATCAGAACCCTCATCGAGTATCCACCCAAAGTAAACTACTCACAAGCCGACCTTGACTTTTAGCTACTAACAGGACGCCTCAGATTCGCCTTTTCAAGCAGAAGATTGAAATAACCACTAAAACAGCCTCAAAATTAGAACGCTCACGATCACACACCAAAGTCGCCCAGACAGCCACTCCCACACACAAAAGAAAGAAGCAAAGATATATTGGTATAAGGGTGTTGCCTAGCATGAAAGAAACAAGGATTCAAAATCTATCGCAAAGCTTGTTCTAAGACAGTTGCGAGGCTACAGACTCGTACAAACTCAATATCTCTCCCACAATTAAACATATAAAAGGGGGCTCAGACTTTCGCGCTTCTTTAAAGCAGAAGAATTGAACATCACAAAAGAGCTAAAAATCCAGAAGCTCACGGAGGTCACCCCAATCGAAGTAAACTTAAAGCCGACTTTGATTTTAAGCATATAAAAGGAGGCCAGATTCCCCCTTTCATGCCAGGGAAGATTGAACATCACAAAACATTCAAAAAATTAAAGAAGCTCACTGAGTCACACACTCAAAGTTCGCCAGACAGCCAGCTCACACACACTAGAAAGTGAAAGCAAAAAGTATAAGGGCTGTTGCCAACATCAGAAACAAGGATTCAAAATTATGCCAAACCTTTGTTCACATACAGACCAACATCTCACCCAATAGTAAAACAAAGCCGACATTGATTTAAGCATATAAAAGGAGCCTCAGATTATCCCTTTTAAAGTAAAAGAATGATATATTCAACAAAATAGCTGAAAATCAGAAGCTCACGAGTTGCCTGACTCAAAGTAAACAACATCGACGGTTTATTTTAAGCATATAAAGGAGGCACAGGACTCTTTTTCAACGCAGAAGATGCAACATCACAAAAGCTAGAGTGTCCCAAATTAGAAGCTCATGAATTCACTTATTTCAATCATGAAAAAGGAGGATCTCAGATTCTGCGCTTTTTCAAGCAGAAAAATTTCGAATATCACAAAGAGGTCTCAACAATCAACGAAGCCACGAGTACTTTTTCAAGCAGAAGACTTGAGATATCACAAAAGAGCTCATGAGTCTTTTTCACGCAGAGAACTTGATTATTCACAAAAGAGCTTTCCAAAATTTCAGAGCTCATGAGTCTTCTGTCCACTGCAGAAGATTTGAATTATCACCAAAGAGAGCTTCAAAATCAACAACCCCTCACGAAGTATCACACCTCCAAGTAAATTACAGCCTAACTTTGATTTAGGCATATAAAAGGAGGACTTAGAATTTGCCTTTTTTCATGCAGAGATTAACATCACAAAATAGCACAAAATAGAAGCTCACGAGTCACACACCCAGCATTTGCCAGACAGCGCACTCACACCAGCAGCAATGGAATAGAAAGCAAATATTACTGGTTAAGGGCTGTTGCCAGCAATGAGAAACGAAGAAATTCCAAAATTAAGCAATTCGATCTTGTGTCACCTCCGAGCAACAACGGCTTCACCCGAATCTTAAAATATAGCCGACATTGATTTAAGCATATATATATCTCATGATTCGCCTTTTTAAACGCAGGAAGATTGAACCATCACAATCACCAGCTAAACAACTCGAAGCTCATCGACGTCAAATCCCTAAGTAACTAAAGGCCTACGCCTGATTTATGCATATAAAAGGAGGCCCAGATTCTCCCTTCTTCAAGCAGAAGACTTGACACGTCACAAAACAGCTCAAAAATTACGAAGCTCCAGCAGTCACACACCCACAGTTGCCCAGATAGCCACTCACACACACAAGAAAAGAAAGTGCAAAATATATTCGGTTATAAGCGAGCTGTATGCCCAGCATGACGACAAGAAAGATGCAAAATCATGCAATGCTTTGTTCACAGAGCAACACATTTCACCGAATTTAAAACTAAAGCCCGACATTGATTTCAGCATATCAAAAGGAGCGCTCAGATATCCCTCTCTTAAAGCGAAGATTGAATATCACAAAATCAGCTCAAATCAGAGGTTCACGACGTCTCACGCCACTCAAAGTTAAACCCAGAGCCGACCGTTGATTTAACGAATATAAGGAAGCTTAGGTTCCCTTTCAAAGCAGATATAAAAGGAAAATAAAACCGAGCTTCAACATATATGATCTATTGAGTCGACCCC